GGGGGGTGAATAGCGTTTGATCAAAAAATCGCAGGAATAAAAAATGAATAAGCGAGAAGTAAAGAGAAGAGTAAGAGGCACACCGATTTTACCCTGGTTCACCACAACTTGTGGCTAATCCAGCCTCCCGAGAGACTCTCTCGAGCTACACTACTATCTCGTCAAGCTTAACGGTGCTTAACAAACCCTTACAACTTGAGAATTCGAGTCACACGAACCTCAACGAACTTTCGAAGGAAACAGCCCTTCCTTCGAACAACAAGAGAAATACTTTCTCTTGTCAAGTGTCTAAGAACACTAAGATCACTCAAGAACAATACTCTCTTTAAGAGTGGATAATGAGTAAACTAATAACGCTCAAGAACACAGCACAACCTTCACAAAAATGGCTCTCAAAAGCTAAGAAAAATTGAAGGATGATTTGCAATGAAAGAGTGGAAGTTGTGAAGTAATGTGATGTGTAAAACAGACCCAAACACCCCATTTTATAGTGGAAAAATAGGCTCCAACGGATCAAAACATTTAAGGGGTGATTGGCACAATTTGTGGGATTTGATTAAAATTGGATCTGTTGAAATTCACCTAGACAGCGCTGTCCTAGGCCTGGACATCGCTGTTCTAGGCTTGCGTTTTGAAAAATGGGAAGCAACGGTCATGCCAACAGCGATGTCCAAAACCACTACATCGCTGTTTTGGCTCTTGACTTCCAAACAAGGAAAGTTTTAGCCTTAAATTTCTTCCAACGGTCAGGTCTCTACATCGATGTCCTATACTAGAACATCGCTGTTTAGGTCTGCCTTTGAAGATGAAATTTTGGCATGACAGGGCTGTTGCTGGGTCAACATCGCTGTCCAAAAACTTTCTGTCAATGCACTATAATTTTGGCTTAGGTTGGACAGCGCTGTAGAGGAGCCTACATCGCTGTTCCAGAAGTTTCTGGGAGTCCAACCTTGGCTCAACAGCGATGTCCAAAGTCCAACATCGCTGTTGGAAGACTTAACGCCAAACCATGTTTTTGGTTACCCAGGCCAGACAGCGCTGTTGATTACCCCAACATCGCTGTTGGGCTTGGTTTAGCCAGACCATGGTTGGTTTAGTCACGCCGTTAGCCGATGTCAAAAACGCAAGTTCTCCAAAGTAAAAACCAAGTTTAGAAAACATTTGTTCAGTGCATTTTGCTAAGAAATCAAGTAAAACATCTTAAAAACCACGTCATTTAGTTGAAAACCACGGCTAGCCGAATTCGTGCCGTTTCGCATGGTTTTCACTAAACGACCAAAAACGGAAGGTGGTTTTTGAGGCGTTTTTGTTGGAGAACTATTTAAATATGCCCAGAAGTAAAAACCAGTTATAAAAACTTAAAAACCACTCTGTTGGTTCGGACGCCAAAAACCGATGCCGAAAACCGAAAGCCGAACGCCGGTTTCTTAAAGCCGAACGCCGAATGGCTTGGTTTTTGGCTTGGGCAAACTCCAAGTGTTTTTGGGTAGATCAAAACTTATGAAAAAATATTTTTGAGTTTGTAAAAAGTGTTTTGATGAAATGAGCCTAGAGAGCCATGTTTTGAAAGTTTGTGCCAGTCTTGATCACAAGAAGACCGACTCAATACAATTCTGGTTCTTCGTCCTTGATTCTGGCTTCTTGGTTCTTAAGTTATCATGCCATGTTCCTTCGCCTTAGTTTTGCTCACTTTAGCTTCGATATGTCGCGGCGGTTTGGCATTATCAAAACCTGTCATAAACGAACACAGTTTAGTACGACGAAGGCGTAAACCCGTGTTCCAACAGCGGCTCGTTCCATCCGGCCATGCCCCCATGAATCGCGACTCCAGGGCATACTCCGCCACTGGAATAGCGGTCGCTGCTGACCACCATCACCACAAACTTGAATCAGAGTCCTTAATAGGTTTCTCTCTCTAGCTGGGCGCAGCTCGTGAACAATAGCCGCAGCCCCTTCAGATCGAGATTCCAGTTGATTTTGTGGAGTATTTTCGCCGATTCTTGATCCTACAGGTTCGTCTTCCTCAGGAGATTCTTTATCCGAGCTCAACCTGTTTGTTTGGTTATCATCTGTGCGTGAATTGAAGGTCAACTGCTGCGAGATTACTGTTCATCTCGCGAACTGGCAGCACTGATTTCGCAGGGATTAAAGCCAAATTGGAGCCTGTTTTTTTTTTTTGTGGAGTTTTGATCGACTTGAAGCCCTTGAAGTGTTCTTAATTGGAATTTCAGTTCCAAACAAAGAATCACAGGTTGGGGTGATTAATTGAAACTCGGACCACTGTTCATCAGCAACTCTGGTTTCAATTTTTTCAGGTTCTGCGTCAGTCTCTGCTCTTTGTGTGGCCTGTTGTTTAGGTGTTTCACTACACTTGTGCTTCTTGATTTCTTTGTGTGGTGCACCCTGTACTTTGGTTCTGGCTTTTCCCTTGCTGCGTGTGTGAATTGAGGCTACTGCACTGCTGGTTTACTGCTGTTGGTTCTTTCTTTGTCATGGGGAAGAAAACCAGTAAAAAAGGTACCAAAAAACACAAACATATTACCAAGTTTGTGTTTGATGGAACACCAGTGAGTGAAGCAAGGCTTCGGTCCACTTCAGAGGCAAGCATAAGTGGTGCTACTGCTGCCAAAACTGGAGCAGTTTCTACTGCTTTGGAAGAGGGAAATGACCAGCTGGGCATTAACAAACATACCCCCATTACTTCTACTCCTTCAAAAACTGTTTTGAGGGAAAGGAAATTGAGAAATGGCAAAACCATGATGCAGAACCCACTGGACAAAAAACTTATTTTGAGGACAACATAGGAAAGGCTGTGGTTAGTGGCATGGAGAGGTCTGATGATGACTTGGACAAACCTAGAGACTCACCCTCTTTCTACCCTATTCTACCTGAACCTCCATCAAAGGAATTGCCTAGTTCCAGTGGGCAAAACCGAGACCCTTCTGAAGGCTTCCCTTTGAAGAAAGTTGAGGTGGGGGATGTGGTCAGAATACCGGCAGAAGGGGTTTCGAATCTTGAGGAGGAGTGGGGGTTCTGCCTTGTGGGCTGTTTCACAGGCCGGTTTCCGGGCATCAAAGCCATAGAGGGGTTGATCTCCTCATGGCATTTAGAGTGCAAGCTTTATCCTCACGAAAAAGGCTGGGTGATCTTCCAGTTTTTGAGTGATGAAGACCGTAGAAAGGTTCTCCATAATGGGCCGTACGTCCTCTATGGTAAGACCCTTTTACTGCGCATTCTTCCGGAAGGGTTTCGCTTTGATTTTGATGCATTTATGACGGTTGATATGTGGGTTAAATATGTTGATGTGCCTTTGCAATTGCGGAATCCTGTTGCCTTCGAGTGCTTGGGGTCTAGAGTGGGAACCCCCATACGCACCGACGGAGGAACGAAAAATAAGGGAAGGTTGAGCTATTGTAGAATGTTGATTCGGGTTGACATGTCTAAGGAGCTCCCTACGTCCTTTGTGGTTTCTCTCCCTGATGGAGAAGAATTTACTCAAAAGGTTGTGTACGAAGGCCTTCCAAACTATTGCTTTCATTGTAAAAAGTTTGGCCACAACCAATTGAGTTGTAGGGTTCTCCGAGCCCTAAACCACAGAAAATCCGGGAATTATTTTGACAAGCGTGATGGAAACAATTTGGGGAAGGATGACACGGTAAGGAAAGGGTCTGTTACTCCTGGAGTTCCTGCCACTGCCAAGCCGAGAAGAAG